GGGGGGGTTGGGGGCTCCCACAGGGAGCAGGTGGCCTAAGCACTGAAGAAATTGGTTTGGCAACTCGGGGGTGGGGGGCATACAGGGAGGTGGGAGACTGGGAGTGAGCACTCCCCTCCTTTGGTGTCAGGGCCCTCAGCCAGGCACCCTCAACTCAGAAATACTGGGTGGCTTTGAGGTGGAGTTTCTCTTTGTATCTTCTGGGTTGTTGCGGTGAAAGGACACACACACTGAAACATCCACCAGTACAACCATCCCCATGCTTTTGTTTCAGCGGCGTTGACGTCTTCCTCACGCGGTGCCCATGGGGATGTAGGCGAAGGGTTACAGAGAGGCGTGTCGGACAGTTCTCGCTTCCCCAGTGCAACACGCACCCTGTGTTTCAACTCGGCGTTTCAGGACGCTCTGTGTGCTCGCTTCCTCCCTGTGGTTCCAATTTCCAACCCTCCCCCTCTCCTAACCCTTTGTCCTTGGGCAAGTGCTGCCCTTGCCATCTTAAAAGGGCCCATGAGTCTAACCTGGGAGTGAGTTAGGTTACAGGCTTGAAGGGTAGCTAAGGAGCAGCAAAATCACTGTTTCCCCCCAGATATTCCACCACTGTTAACACTGCTCCCCAAATGCTGCTGCTTCTACTTCTTGAGCTGCACCTAAAAATGAATGGGTTTTTTTTTCTTTTGCTCCTGTATTTTTAATTAAAGCAGACACATCAATATGGTATCTATTCATCTCCAGATTTTCCAGTTCTATTATTGTAGGTTTAATTTTCTTACCATGAAATCAATGCACGGATCTGAAAACATACAATGGGTTTTTAAAAGCTCCATGGGGAGGGCCGGCCCCAATCCCAACTACTTTGTAGACACCTGCCTCTCCCCCCCAGGAAGAATTTATTTCAAAGGATGACATTGAATCTGCAGCTCCGGGAGAGGGACATAATTTGATCAGAGCACATGGGAGCAGATGAAGGGGGAGGAGGAGAGAGTGGAGCACATCCTGGCCCACCAGGCCATGAGGACGATGTTCCCGATTAGAGCAGCCAGGCCACAGACAGGACCATATGGCCGGCCCCACTATGAGACATGAGTCCCTCACTGACCCATAGCCCCATGGAGACAACACCGGAGACACAGTGTGGGAATTGCGCCCCATCTGATCCTGCCACACCAAGGCAAAACACTAAGGGGGTGCAACAGAACAACAAGGGAATGGAGCGGTGAGGTCCCCAGGGAATTCTGAAGGTGGACTTTGGGGCCAGGGTGTGGTGCCCCAACAGACTGGACTGGAAAACACTCCTAAAGAGCCGACTCTTGTGGGGGAATACACTCACGGTTATGAGATACAAATAAATCTTAATACACATTCTCGTGACTGGACACAGTCTCTCCAATAACGC